GCCACAACCTCAGCCCCATATCTGATTGTTTTTTCATGGCTAATTTGTAATAATTCCTTACATAGTATGTTTCTGAGCCATTTTACTTTCTAGAACTTTCTCTGGCACAAGCCGCATTTGACTGCTGAGGTCTTTTATCTATTCCACATATTCCAAGTCTTTTTTTCCCTCAATAGATTCCTCTTTTTAATATTGAAGGACATATTTTACTGTATTTTATTTTATTTATTTACTGATTTGTACTACTAGGGATGGAACCCAGGGCCTCATGCATGCTAAGCAACGGCTCTACCACTCAGCTGCATCCCCAGCCCTTTTTATTTTCTTATTATTTTTTAAATTTGAGAAAGGGTGTCCTTAAATTGCCCACACTGGCCTCAAACTTGTAATCCTTTGATTTCAGCCTCCCTAGTAGACGGTATAACAGCTGTGTACTATCATGCACCTCAGATACCTTATTTTAAAGGCATACTCAAGTGTTTGAGCCTAAACCTAAATGTTCCTTCTTTTCAACTTTGGGTTTTTCTCCCTCTCTACACAGAAGGTTAGAAAATATTGTACATAATAAATATGTAAATCTTTTTCCCATGGTATTTTGGGTTGAGTCTTAGAAAGGTCATTTCCACCGAAACTATATAAAATACTTTATTGTGTCTTTTTAATGCTGTCAAAGTTTTTGAAATAAGTTTTTTATTCATAAGCCATTTATTTATTTATTTATACCAGGAATTCAACCCTGGGGAGCTTAACATCTGCAGCCCATTTATATTTTATTTTGAGGCAGGGTCTCGCTAAGTTGCTTAGAGCCTCACTAAGTTGCTGAGGCTGGCTTTGAAATTGCAGTCCTCCTGCCTCAGCCTCCTGAGCTTCTGAGGTTACAGAATTTTGCCACTGCACCTGGTTACTTTCATAGTTTTAAAATGTTTGGTTCTTTATTCTGTATGGATCTTATTATTGTGAAGAAGTAGTCCATTTACCCAAGACCTTATTTACTATTTTTTCAAAGATCACTTAGCTGCTCTTTTGCATTTTATCTTCCAAATAAAAATCAGCTATTTTGGAATCAGTTATTTTAAGATTCATAAGTCATTCTCCTTGAGTTTTTAATTATGGTTTTATGGACTGTATAGGTTACGTACAAGTTTTTTTTTTTTTTTTTGGTTGCCTCATTTACAATATTGAGTCATCTCCTCAAGAACATGGTATAGAGTTAAATCACATTTTATTGACATTCTATTTTATATTTACTCTGATATCTCTGATATCTTCTCTCCTCCTCCTCCTCCTCCTCCTCCTCTTCTTTTTGTACAGGGAATTGAACTCAGGGGCACTCGACCACTGAGCCACATCCCCAGCTCTATTTTGTATTTTATTTTGAGACCGGCTCTCACTGAGTTGCTTAGCACCTTGCTAAGTTGCTGAGACTGGCTTTGAATTTGTGATCCTCCTGCATCAGCCTCCCGAGACTCTGGTCTTATTTCTTTTTTTCTTTAGCTTTAATCAGTTATACATGACAGTAGAAAACTCTTCAGTTCATTGTACACAAACGGAGCAGAATTTTTCACTTCTCTGTTTGTAAATGAAGTAGAGTGACATCATTCATGCAATCATGCATGTACCTAGGGTAATGATGTCCATCTCATTCCACCATCTTTCCTACCCCCTTACCCCCTGCCCCCTGCACTTTGCCCCATCCAAAGTTCCTCCACTCATCTCATGTCCCTCCCCCCACATTATGGATCACCATCCACCTATCACAGAAAACATTTGGCCCCTGTTTTTTTGGATTGGCTTATTTTGCTTAATATTATGTTTTCCAATTCCACCCATCCACCTGCAAATGCCATCATTTTATTCTCTTTTAATGCTGAGTAATATTCCATTGTATATATATACCACAGTTTCTTTATCCATTTATCTATTGAAGGGCATCTAGGTTGCTTCAACAGTTTAGCTGTTGTGAATTGAGCTCCTATAAATATTAATGTGGCTGTGTCACTGTAGAATGCTGATTTTAAGTCCTTTGGCTATAAACCAAGGAGTGGATAGCTGATTCAAATGGTGGTTCCATTCCAAGTAGTCTAAGCAGTCTCCTTACTACTATCCAGAGTGGTTGCACCAATTTGCAATCCCACCATCAATGTATGAGTGTGCCTTTTCTCCCACATCCTTCCAACACTTACTGTTGCTTGTATTCAAAGTGAAACTAAACTACTGTCTCTCACCATGCACAAAACTCAACTCAAAGTGGATCAAGGACCTAAGAATTAGACCGGAGACCCTGCACCTAATAGAGGAAAAAGTAGGCCCAAATCTTTATCACGTCGGATTAGGCCCCAACTTCCTTAGCAAGACTCCTAAAGCATAAGAAATAAAATCAAGAATTAATAAATGGGATGGATTCAAACTAACAAGCTTATTCTCAGCAAAAGAAATAATCAATGAGGTGAAGAGAGAGCCTACATTTTGGTCTTATTTCTTTTTGTTACTTCTTTCCTTCCTTTTTTTTTTTTTCCTGTTTGCTTGCTTTGTTGTTTTTGTTGATATGGTCTTGCCATGTTGTCCATGCTGGCCCCAAACTCCTGGGCTCAAGCAACCCTTCTGCCACAGAGTCTCAAGTAGTTGGGACTACAGGTGTGAGTCACCATGCCTGCTTCCCTCCTCTTCTTTTCATTAAACAAATTCCATTTCCATTTCACATGTTTGTTTGGATGTTTTGTATGTGGTTTCTGTTCTGTTGGTGTTTACCTTTAATTTTTTTCAATCAACATATTTTTTCTCTCAATTTCAACTTTTTTATTGTATCTATAAACTTACTCCCAGAACAAGTCATAAACAAATTTTTATTTTCCGTGATTGAAACTTGCTCTTTAAAAAATTATTTAGTTAACCGGGCTTTGTGGCACATGCCTATAATTCCGGAAACTCTAGAGGCTGAGGCAGGAGGATTGCAAATTCAAAGCAATCCTAAGCAACTTAACAAGGCAAGTGAGCAAGACCCTGTCCCTAAATAAAGTATAAAAAAGGGCTGGGAATGTGGCTTGGTGGTTAAGCATTCCTGGATTCAATTCCTGGTACCCTGCCCCAAGTTTAGTTCTTATATTTGTCAGTAGTGTACATGAATATAATTTAAAGCAGGTTAAGCAAAATTTTTCTGTAAAGAGCCTGTAATTAGGCCACATGGTCTCTGTAACTACTCAACTCTGCCCTTGTAGCAGCCATAGGCAATAAGGAAATGCAGGAGCATGGCTTGAATCTCATATAATCTTTACCTAGTTTGAGACATTTCAGGGCTGGGGTTGTGGTTCAGTGGAAGAGCGCTTGCCTAGCATGCATGAGGCACTGGGTTCGATCCTCAGCACCACATATAAATAAAACAAAGGTATTGTGTCCACCTACAACTAAAAAATAAATGTTAAAAAAATAAAGGAAGAACTGAAATTTAGAAAAAAATTTGATTTAACTCTTTAAAAACATTAAAAATCACTCTTAGTTTATAAGCCATACAAACATAGGCATAGTTTGGAGCCTAGTTTGCTGACCCCAAGTTCAGAGTTAGTTACTTCTACAAAATAGCAGTCCCAGGGGCTGAGATTGTTGCTCAGAGGTAGAGCGCTTGCCTAGCATGTGTGAGGCACTGGGTTCGATCCTCAGCACCACATAAAAATAAATAAAATAAAAGTATTGTGTTCATCTACAACTAAAAAAATGTATTTAAAAAATAGCAATTCATGTCTTCCAACCACTCCCCAGAATCAACCACTTTGCACACTTTTAGTACTTTCTTTTGTCATTTACCTTCTCTAAATAGTAGTGCTATTGCTTTCTCTTTTTATGTTTTAGGAATTATTGATTGACTTGACCTGCCTCTCCATCCCCAACCAACACATACTTCCTGTTCCTCCATCCTTTCAGCATAGTGCATAATAATTTCATTTAGGTCATCTCTTCATGTTACATTACCAAGTCCATGGAAGCTCTACTCATAATTATGTAATTACTGTGATTTCTTTTCCTTTCCCAACATTTTGTTTTTCTTGGAGTCAACATTTGTATCCCCATTCGTTTTTGCTTGTTTGTTCTTACTTATCAGTAGTTCAGCACTTCTCCCAACTCTCTGAATTTCCTATCCATTTGTTTAAAGATGTCTGGCATTTTCATAGTTCCTTTCCTAGGAGCTTTCTTGGGTCTTTTTTTTTTTTTTTTTTTTTTTTGGTACTGGGGATTGAACCCAGCGGTGCTTAACTACTGAGCCACATCCTAGCCCTATTTTATATTTTATTAGAGACAGGGTCTCCCTGAGTTGCTTAGGGCCTCACTAAGTTGCTAAGCCTGGCTTTGAATGTGCAATCCTCCTGCCTCAGCCTCCCAAGTCACTGGGATTATAGGCATGTGCCATTGCACCCAGATTTTGGGGTATTTTTGACTTGCTCTCTGGGCCTTCTACCCAGTCATGAGCCTGGGGTCTCCTTCCATCATTCCAGAGATGGTGTTCAGTTCTTTGTTGGCTTGAGTCCCCTGTTTCCTAGTTACCACCTTTACTTCCCTGATTTTGGTGGTGCACTGTTTCTACAAAAAGGCCTCTAAAAGAAGAATAGAGAAGAAGTAAATTATTTGAGTTCTTTCATGTCCAAAAATGTCATTAGTCTAAACTCACAGTCAGAGCTGGGGGTGTAGCTCAGTGGTAGAGCTCAAGCTTACCATGTGCGAAGCCCTGAGTTTCATCCCCAGCACTGAATTTTTTTTTTTTTCTAAACTCACGGTTGACAGTTTGGGTATAGAATTATAGGTTGGACAATAACTTTCCCTTAAGAATATTGAAGGTATTCCTTCATTGTCTTCCAGTTTCCCATGCAATTGTAAATTACAAATTCTGATGCTTTGAATATGAACTAATTTTTTTTCTTTCCAAATGTTTTTGTCTCAGCATATTGAAGATTGTCAACCATCTTCTGGGTTTCATTGATGCTATTAAGAAGTCATCCTGTAGTTTAAAAGTCATGGTTTTAAAGGTAATCAGCTTTATTTCTTTGCCTTTAATATCTTGTGTCTAGGTACAAATCTGTTTCTGTTTTTCCTGCTTGGGATTTGTTGGGATTCTTAAATTTGTCTTCTATTAGTTCAGGAAAGTTTTTAGGAAGTATGTCTTCAAATGTTGTCACTGCTTTATTTTCTCTGACATAGTGATGAGATTTTTATTAGACCTTCTCACACTCTCTTCCATGTTTCTATTTTTCCATTTTTTTTGTACTGAGGATGGAATCCAGGGGCATTCAGCCACTGAGCCACATCCCCAACCCTTTTTATTTTTTATTTCATTTTGAGAGTGGGTCTTACTGAATTGTTGAGGCTGGCTTTAAATTCCCAATCCTTATGGGTGTGCACTACTGCACCCAGCTTTTTTCCAATTTTTATATTTCTTCATGCCTCTTAGCTGCATTCTGGATACTTTGTTTTGCTCTGTTCAATCCTTGGCACCACATAAAAATAAAAAAATAAAGGTATTGTGTCCAACTATGACTAAAACATAAATATCTAAAAAAATCAACATATATTTTAAGAAATAAGGATAAAGTGAACATATACTTAGCTACTACTCAGGCCAAGAAACCCAACCTCTGTGTGTTACCCCATTCACAGTTACCTTCTCCCATCCTAAGGAGAACCCCCATTCTGATGTTTATGTTATTCATACCCATTCCTTTCTTTTATAGTTTTGCCACCTACAATGTTACTTATTTTTGCTTGCTCTTCAAGTTTACACAAAAGAATAATATGTAGTATGAATTTTCTGCTTATTTTGTTCAACATTATGCTTGTGAGATTCATTCATGTTTCTCAAGACTGTAGTTCATTTCTTTTGTAATATAATAATATATTGGTGAATATGGGCAGGTGGGTGGTTTGTAGTAGTTGGTTACTGAGAACATTAGTGGACACAGGAGATATTGTCTACAAATTCAGTTTCTAGACCATTCAGTGCATCCTGGACTATGCCTTCTACTTTACACTACTACCACATGCTTTTCCAAAGGAGTTGTACCAGTTTACTTTCCCAGCAATAGTGATTGAGAGATCCTGATGCCCCATGTCCTTGCCAACATGTATTATTGTTAGTATGAATTTTTGCCAGTCTTCTGGGCATGCAGTGGTATACATTATGTTTTAATTGAGATATAACTTACATGCAATAAGATACACAGACTTAAGATGTCTAGTACAATATAGTCATTTCCTATTTGCCACCAGGAGGGCATTTTCAGATGACAAACTGTTGTGAAGGCGCTCACAGTTTCAAAGTAGAAACAGAACAGAAGCTCCACCTGATCCCTCTTCACCTCCCTCTGTCCTTACTATCTCCACTATCCTGTACCACAGGGTTCCAGCAGTGATGCTCTTGCCATCTTGATTTTACAGGTGAGAAAGTGGTTTCTTAACTTGCTCAAGATCTCAAAGTGATAGAGGCAGGATTTGAACAGAGCTCTATTTGAAAGGCAAAGTGATCACTCACCATGTGAGAAACTCATTCTTTGGTGTCATGATAGAATTTTCCACCCTGGACTGTAAGCTGTGTAAAAGCAAGAAACATGTCTGGCTTCTGTACCACATCATGGGCACTCAGAGAATAATGTGTAGAATGAATGACTGCAGGCACAACTGAACCTGTTACAATGCAAATCTCTCTGCCTAGCTCTCTGGGAGTAGCAATCCGGCAAGCAATATGAGTTAATAGGAATGAGTTTGTTCATACTTTCACAAGAACAGAGGGGCTTTTTTTGGTGCTGATGTTTTAATCCAGGGGTGTTTTACCACTGAGCTATATCCACAGTTCTTTTTATATTTTATTTGAGAGTGGATCTTATTAAGTTGTTAAGGGTCTGGCTAAATTGTTCAGGCTGGCCTCAAACTTGTGATCCTCTTGCCTTAGCCTCCTAAGTCACTGGAATTACATTCATGCACCACCATGACTGGCTACTAGAATAGTTTTTTACAAAAATGACTCACAATTTGTAATTCTTGGAAGAGAAAGTAGAAGAGGTACAAGAACAAGATATAGAGGGGAGATTCTACTGATCTGAGGATCATAGTAAGGTACACCTATAAAGGAAGGAGTCAAGTGCTGAACAGAGGGGAGCAGGGCCCATAAATTGAACTTGACCTCCCAGTCCATGTTGAGCACATCTTGAGTGCACAAATTTTGCACATTAGTATTCATACATATATATAAATATTTTTATGGAGTGAAGTCATAATGTGTCCAAGTCTCCATCTGTGGCTCACAGAGAACCTGATTTGTTATTTCCTGTTTCCCACTATAGGCAGAATACGTCAAGAGCCCAAGTGCAACACTTCCCTCCAGTATGCCTTCTTGCAGGTCTCTGTCATCCAGCGAGGATGATCCCAATGGGCATTCCAGCCTTTCAGAGGGAGAACTTTCCCGGAATTTACAGGAAAGTGTCAAGCACCGCATCCTCTACCTCTCAGAGCAGCTGAAAGTGGAGAAGGCTAGTCGGGATGAGAACACCGTGAGCTACCTCAGGCTAGTGTCCAAAGCTGACAGGCATCAAGCTCCACGTATCCGGCAGGCCTTTGAGAAGGTGAATCAGCGCACTTCTGCCACCATTGCCCAGATAGAGCGAAGGCTCCGTCAGTGTCATCAGCAGCTCCAGGAACTGGAGGAAGACTGTAGGTCCAAGGGCTCAGTACTTAAGGTGAAAAGCAGTCTGGACAACTGTGAGCAGCCCAGTGCAAAGGCCACGGTTTCCAAGTCCCCCAAGCTGGGTGGGGAAGATGGTCTATCCTCCAACTTGCCTGATGTCACCAGACCCTTCACTCTGGAGAGTCACTTCTCAGACTTGCAACAGGAGAATTTCTCAGAGACAAAGCACATGTCCCAGAAACGAAAGCTACAATTGCAGAAGGTGAAGGAAGAGCTGACAGAAGTTAATAAGTTCCACATTGACCTTCAAGTGTACTACCAGGACCTTGAGGGGAGGTATCTGATGGACCTTCAGATGTCACTGGAGTCCCTTCAGGAGGAAAAATGCAGGTGAGGTGAGCCCCTTCTTCCATCTTGGTTCTGGAGACCAGAAGCAAGCGAGGGACAATTGGGACCTGCCTGGTGGGGGCTGTCTGAGAAGGAGCCAGGGACAAGGGCTTGGAGAGTCAGGTGGGAAGAATTGATCTGCATTTCTCTTGGTGGCTAGGCCCTGCAGTGGAGCAGGCAGGGTCCTCTTTCTATTGCCCCACACCTATTTGTCCCTTCCTGGCTAAATAGGCTCCATCTCAGAGGTCCCTGCCAGGTCTCTATGGAGCACTGGATTGGGTGGTCTTGACTACAATGGCAGGAGGCAGCCAGGTGACATTAGTTAGTAAGGCATCATCCCCTAGGCCCTATCTGCTGGAAGGGTTGGTTAGGAGTGGTATTGTCTTGCTAGCCCCAATCTCTTCACCTGTGTGCCTACATGATTGAGCTGGGGCACAAAGTCAAGCACTGGACATTCCATCTGAGAATGAATGTCTTCTTCCACATGCTTTCTCCACAATGTGCAGTGGCTCAATTTTATTTTTCTCTAAGACAAAACTAAAGCCCACCAATTTAAAAAAAAGAGAGTGGTGACCTCAAAGGATCTAATCTACTCCTCTTGGGGCCCTTCTCTGGGTTCCCACTGGACCTCTGAGGCACCATGCTTCCTCCCCGTCACTGTCACTATAGTCTATTGCTAATTAACATTAATCCTTCTAACAGCCTGGAAAGGGAGGGAGAGATTCACTTAGGTGAGCCAAGATTCTCAGCAATTTCACAAAAATAAGAACTCTCAGTCCTTTTACTGCCTACACAATGTGGGAGAAGAAGCAAATGGGAATCATCATCTTTGGTTTTCCCAGGGAAATCTTACCAACATTTATATGGTCTAAGAATCCATGAAAGGAAATCAAAGTAAGAAGACCAGTCAGAATTACAGTTTTCTTTTGGAGATCATTTTTATAGGACATAGCAACCAAATCTAAAATCTTGGGAGTCTTAAAAATCCCTTCATTGAAATAACATCCCCAAGGTCAGATTTATATCAAGCAAGAATAGAGTTGGGTGGCACTTACAGACATCCTCATGTGTTTCTATATAACACAGGTCAGTGAGACTCATGCTTGGGTACACTCTTAACCTCTCATGCACTATATGTGACATACGTGTTCAAGTCCATTCAATGTCACCCAGTGACAATGCCTATGTGACCACCACCCAGGCCCCTGTGATAGGAAAATTTGTGGTGTGTCATGACCTGAGATTTCAACCCAAAAGTCCTGGGACATTTATCACAGTTAAATCTGTTTCCAAGAGAGGTATCATAATTTTTACTGTTGAGATTTTTTTTTCCTAATTTGATAGTGAGGAACTCTGTCGAGAATGGCCCTAAGCTGGGGCTGGGGATGTGGCTCAAGCGGTAGCGTGCTCGCCTGGCATGCGTGCGGCCTGGGTTCGATTCTCAGCACCACATACAAATAAACATGTTGTGTCTGCTGAAAGCTAAAAAATTCTCTCTCTCTCTCTCTCTCTCTCTCTCTTAAAAAAAAAAAAGAATGGCCCTAAGCCAAGATAGCTATTCTTGAAGAGAGTGGGGAAAGTTAAGTAGGGATGTGAGTGTCAGAGGATGACAAAAAGATGTGAAACAAAAATGTAGGAAGTGGAAAAAATGTATTACTCATGGGTCCCTGAGAGGTTAAGTCTGGGGGTAATAGGAGCTCAACCATCAGGTACAAGGGGGAACTTGTGGGCCTGAGCCTCTCAAGTCTATGGGTGTCAGCCCTTAGGCTTTCCCATAGGGGCTACTTTAACAAAAATATGCATAGAGAGAAGCATATTTACATGATTCTGGGCTCTATCATGGTCAGCAGCTGTGAGATTTGATTGAGTCAGTAAGATAAGAAATAAGTGAACTAATTTCAAACAACCACACATGGAACATAAATTTAATTTAAGGCAAAGGTGGCAGTGTGCAACTGGGTTTCACATTACTTACATCGGGCCTGATAGTGGATGCTGCCAAGGCAGCAACTATTTTAAACAAATTTATAGCAAAAGTGTACTTTAAAAAAAATTCACATGACATTAACCATATTGAAGTGTGCAATTCAGTGGCATTGAATATTTCTACAGTGTTGTACAACCACTATGTCAATCTAGTTGTAGAACATTTTCATCATCTCCAAAGGAGAATTTGCTGGGTACTTTGGTACACGCCTGTAATCCCAGTGGCTCAGGAGGCTGAGGCAGGAGGAACACAAACTCAAGGCCAGCCTCAGCAACTTAGTGAGGCCCTAAGCAACTCAGTGAGACCTGTCTCAAAATAATAAATAAAACGGGCTGGGGATGTGGCTCAGTGATTAAGAGCCCCTGGGTTCAATTCCTGGTACACACAAAAAAGGAGAATTTGTGCCCATTATGCAGTCAATCCCCATTCACCAGCTTCAGTTCCATGTACTTACAAATCTGTTTTCTGTCTCTGTTGATTTGCCTCTTCTGGACATTTAATATAAATGAGATTATGCACGATGTGGCCTATTGTGTTTGGAATGATTTTTTTTTCAAGGTTTGTTCATTTTGTGGTAGGCATCAGACCTTCATTTTTAATGGCTGAATAATATTCCAGTGTGTGGATAGACCACATTTTGTTTATCTGTCCATCAGTTCCTGGAGATTAGGGTTGTTTCTGCCTTCTGACTATAGTGAGAAACTCTGCTTATGAACACTTGTATGCATGCATTTGATGAAACAGCAGTTTTCAATTCTTTGGGATCTATATCCAGGAATGGAATTGCTGGGTTCCATGGTGACTCTAGGTGTAAAGTTTAGAGGAACTGCTAGACTGGTTTCCTCAGCAGTTGCACCATTTTACCTTCCCACCCGCCATGCATAGGCTTCCAATTTCTTTACATCCTTGCAGTGCTTGTTTATTGTCACTTTTTGTGTGTTTTGTTTTGTTTTATTTTGTAGTGCTGGGAGGGAACACAGGACCTTACATGCCAGGAAAATACTCTTCAGATGAGTTACGCCCCCAAATGAGTTTCCTTTTTTTTTAATGAAAGTGGGTGTGAAGTGGTATCTCATTGTAAGGACTTCCCTGCTTTTTAAATTTTTCCTTAGTCTTTTCATGGGCAAAAGGTTTTGTTTTGTTTTTTCTCTTTTTATGCATTTTTGTTGTGGTAAAAAATCATATAACAAAATTTAACATATAAACCATTGAAGACTTTCTCTTTGATTCTATAAAGTGCAGGGTCTCAATCACAGTGGCAGTAAGACTCAGGAAGTTCAGGGCTGGCCTAGTGGTCCTTGGGTCTCCTCCTTCAGGAGGCCTGAATTTGTGGGTCGTCTCAGGGGATATTCTTGGACCCTGTGACTGAAGGACCATGACTGCTTCTTCTGGAGCCGCTTGAGGTCCCTGAAACTCTACCCTCTGTGTGCTGAGGAAAAACCTAGCTTTGGACAAAGAATGGGGAAGGCATGTAGACTTTTTAAAAAATATTTTTTACTTGTAGTTGGACACAATACCTTTATTTATTTATTTATTTATTTAATGTGGTGCTGAAGATCGTACCCAGTGCCTCACACATGCTAGGTGAGCACTCTACTGCTGAGCTATAGCCACAGCCCCCAATAGGTAGACTTTTGAGTATGGAATGGTATCCACATGGGTGCTGTGGACTTGAGGATTCTTCATGGAAGGGTCTTGGCCAGGCTGCTGTTCTTTTCTTGTGGAAACAAGGAAACACTTCAGATCTCCAGGAACACTGCTCAGTGAGCAGTCTCCTGGGGAACCAGAGGCCCTGCTCCTCAGTATCTGTAAGGGTCAGGAAGGAAGATCTGAGGAATTCAGAAAATGTCCATTTACAGAAAAGGCAGAACCCAAGGAGGGAATGGGAAGTCTTCAAGTGAAGTTGTAACTGACCAGACCTCATCTGGGTGCCCCCTGTGGTAAATTACAGGAGATTCTCTAGAGCCTTTTAACAAGAGCCCCACTCTCTCTGTCCTGCAGGATGCCTGGCTGACTTCTGTTTCATGGTCAAAGGCAGTGGTCTCTGTTGCTGCTGAGGCAGCCAGGTGCCAGGCTGCTCCCCTAGACTGGACCTGGACAAAATCATCATCACTGCTGAGGACCACAACTAGGCCTTCCCTGCCCAGCTCCAGGGCATCTCTCACTTTGGGGTACTTAATTGTCCAATGTTGGCTTTCATGCAGGCAAGGCCTTCAACTTCCTACTTCACATTTGTAGCCCCAGTGGATGGTTCAATGCCTGGAGCCCAGTGCTCGCTGGAACATTCTCTCTCACTCTCTCTCTCTCCCTCCCTCCCTCCCTCCCTCTTTTTAAAGAAGTTTTATTGCTTTGCTAGCAAAGGAAAAACACAGGGGCCTCCTGTCCCAGAGGCTGTGACAGGAATGGAGCAGGAATGGAGACTGCTGGAACACCTTCATTGAAGGGATCCTAGGAGAAAATCTACCAGGAGGATGATGTTGTTTGGGGCCTGATTCCTATTTACCTAAATTTAACCTCAGACTTGGTGGGCAGGTGATGCCATGACATCAGCTCACTCAAGACTCTGCTAGATGACAACAAACTGGTCTTGTCGTCTTTATCTGACAGCTTTTGGCTCTTTTAACTTGCCTGACCTTTTGACAACTTCTCCAGCTCTTCATAGGGCAGTGTAATAGGTTGATCTGGTCCTGTCCCCTAAGGTCCCAGTATGCCCAGAAAGCACAGGCCAGCACAAGAGGAAGGGTGTGTTCCAAGACAGTCAATGTTACCCTAAATTCCACTTCACTGGGAATCCAAGCACAGGATCAAGAGCCCCAATCCCTTTTAGGAGCTGCCCAGGGCGAGACACTTTCCTTACAGTTCTCACTTACAATCCAAATCTCCACTGCCCATCTCCCTGCCCCCATAGTCCTCTTCATGTCGACAGGTGCCAGGGGGACACAAAATGCCTCTGTGGCCCGTGGGCTTAGCATCAAGCACGTCAGAGTCCTCCAGGTTCCTGGTTAGCCTGCTGCGT